TCCGTCATCGCGCCCACGCGATATCACCCGGACATAATCATCATCCAACAGCACGGCACATGCCAGACAGAGAGAGCCATCGCTCGCTCTGTGCACAACTTGCGTCGTGGCTGTCTTGTCCACGACGGTAACGTGAGGCCAGTCTCTTGGAGCCACCAAGAGATGCGTCAACACTTCACGTACGTCGAAGCCACTTCGACGCTTGACTGACCGAGCCAGCCAGTCAATCTCTGGCTGATACCGTGCAAGCCACGGGATCCCCAGAATGCAGTCGAACGCGTAATGTATCTCGATCACCAGGAAGTCGTCGTTGCTGCGAAAGCCGTCGAACGTGTACGGCAGGGACACCTCGCGTCGCGCGACGCGGTGGGCCTTGCCATCCACAAGCTTGACTTCCACCTCGCCCGGACCCTTCCGGACGCGAACGCTCGCAGGAAGCACCGCCAGACACGACGCGCGCAAGAAGTTGTTTGTCGCTCCTGAGTCGAGGAGCGCGCGCAGTGGACGTCGGGCGCCGGCGACATGGAGGCTGACGATGATCAGCCTCGAGTCGCTACTCGTAGTGGTAGCATTAAAACGTGCATATAGCACGGGAGGGATAGAAGGCTGGGCTGCCACCGGAAAACCCGGACCTTCGTTCCATCCAGTAGGGCGCCCCGCACCTACTGGCTCCGGCCGTTTTTTGGTTGGACGGCCGGGCTAGCGTCGGAATCGACGTGCGCGAGAACTGGGGCTGGCGCGCGGCACTCTACCAATCTTCCGGCAGCGGAAGCAAATCAGAGGACGAGCGCTCCGACCTCCTTCCCCACCATAAGCTGAGCCCCGTCGATCACCCGACGCCTCAATTGCGTCGATTTCCATGGGCACGGGTGCGGATACCCGAGAGACGTCCGGCATAGCGCGCGCGTACGATGCCGACACCACGTAGCCCTCGCGGAGCGCGAGGGCGAATGCCTCCTCGAGCGAGGAGGGTTCGGCTCTCATGAGACAGTACCGCTTCATGCCTTCGCGCATCCCGAACGCAAAGACATGCACCTGAGATGTCATGTCAATGGGGTGGGTGACAATATACGACGCAAGGTGTCGTGTCTTCTGGACGTAGTCGTGCATGGACATCTTGCCTTGTTTGAGGGCGAAGAACTCAGCACGAACGCGCGACTCGTCTTGTGGCGGCTCGAACGCGAGCCGGAGGTCAATCTGGAGCGCATCAAAGGAACGCGTGCTGGTCGACGACGAGCTTGCCGAGGGCCCACTCCTTGGCCTTCCCGGACAGCCGGGAGAGTAGGAAGTTGACCTTGGCCGCCGGCGCTTCAATCATGCGCGAGGCGATAGCGATGTCGATCTCGCGGAACCAGCGGTTCAGCGGAAGCCGGTCGTCACCCACACCGGAGTATGTCGATGTCTCGAGTTTGACGACGTCGATCCTCGAGGAGCGCGAGGGAGTTGTGACCCGCCGATTCGCGTCGGCGAGCTCGCGTTCCATGAATTCTTGGAAAGCTTGGCGCTGTTGTTCCGGCATCGCTGAGCTCAGCAGCGAGGTGACAACAGCCTCTCCGGACACCGCCGCGAGGCGGTGGATAGCTTCCCACTCAATCCGCGTGAGATGGGGGAAGGCACCATTGCCCCTGAAGGTCCGGACGTCAGGACTTGGCTCATCTTGGTCTTGGTCGTTGGAAGGACTACAAAGTGCTTCCAGGTGTAACGGGCCAGGTGTGTGTCCGTTACTAGCTTACACGTAGCGATGAGGAAGCTTAGTTAAGACTCGGATTTAATGAGACCAAGCAGTCAGTCTTGGGTAAAATCAACTCCGTTTTATGTAAGGACCAGGGCGGCTACCCCTGGTCTCATGTGAGCCACTCAATGCAGGTCAACGCCTGATTGGCTGAAATGGGGTCTGGCTCCCCCAATTCAGCCAATCACGATGACCGTCAGTACACGCTAGCCGTGTACTGACTTAACTACTTTATGTACTGTCAATCTACCTACTTATGTAAATGGGGCCCATTACACCCCCGCATCTCTGAGATCGGGATATCCCAGTATTCTTCGACAGCACCCTGAGAATCGTCGTCATCCACCTCGAATCCCAGAGAATCACCTTCCTCGCCCCGCTGACCCTGAGAATCACTGTCAACTTCAACCTGTAAACTCAGGTACTGACACACGTTTTGGTTGCTGCGGTATTTCGGCCGAGGTCGGGTCATACAGACCCAGGATCGAGCTTCCAAGCACAGTAGTTTATTAACGACACGCTCGTAGCGAACACGGTCAACTAATAATAGCATATAGAGCAACTGTACTCCGCTATTGTAGCTACAAGGAACTACCAACGCAATCCGCAAGGGCTATACTAGGTATTGGGGAGCCCTGGAGGGGAGCCAATTCCTTGATCTCGTACTTACCATGAGGGAGCCCATTTTGTGCGACTTTTGGCTCTCGTATTAGGGGGAGCCCACTTTTGAAGTTGACGGGCTCGGGCTCGCAGAAGGAGTGGATCAAACCACGAGAGTGGATTTCGTGCCAAATCCTTGTTGAATCGACAGAAGGAAGCGCGTTCACCGAAGCTTCACCTCCACCGAGGCGAGCCTTGCAATCGACCACGACGACTGGACCGAGACGCGCGTGGCTAGCGAGAACAATGCGAGATTCAATCCCTCCCGGGGTCAATTTTCGCGTCGAGGAACAATTGCTCTCTGCACCGCCAAAACCCAACGGAAGCTCGGGCCTGTCCTAACGTTAGTTGCTCCTCTCGCTCGCAGTGACAGTGGTTGGATCATAGTCGCACTTCAATTCGGCCCCACCTCGCTAACGACGAACGCCTGGCCTGACCCGCACCACCTTTTCCTGCTTGGAAGAGTACCATGTGCTCTCGATGTCAAAACATTGCCTTCGGGCGAGCAGCACTGGTCACAGCTCACTCTGCTCAATAATTGCTGCCGTTACGCTGGACTTGTGATCATGCGCACGAGTGAAAGGCTCAAATGCGCGCCGGTTGTGCAATGCTCAAGAGGGCGCCCTTTCAAAGTTTACCATTGCTGCGGCGCAGTAAACTTTGCATCTTGATCCCCGACGACCGTGAGCTCGGTGATCCACAGACGCCCGCAGTTAGCTAACATCTTGGTGCTGTCAAATGCGGCGGCGGCGCTAGAGATACGAGCCGTGGGCCACTCGGTTTGTTTCCAGGGATGCCGGCGTGCTCCTTCCAGTGCAGTCGGCGTCCGGCTCGTGAGAGGGCCCCACCTGAGCCCTCGAAGTCTATCTATCCACCTGCCGTCGCCGAAAGTGTTCAACTCGCGGTCAACACTTTCCATTCTGCGTGCCTCGTCGCTACCCGGCAGACAATTTGACCCCCATCCCGAGGCTCGTGTGAAGAAGCATCAGGTTCTGAGACTGCGAATCAAGCGAGCAAACGCGCGTAACTGGTTTCGGGTAGAGCTGAAAGGCGAGCGAGACACGGACCACACGAAACCGCAGCGCCAACGCCTTCGTCTAGTTGGGGGCTGAAACGGGGGGATCAAGCGATCACCAGTCGGCACTCTTGCAATCGCCTCGTACCACACAGGCAGGACCACCATGAATGGCTCGATGAGCTCATTGACAGCGACCATCACGTCGGCCTTGGCGCTCAAGGCGTTCACGGTCTACATCTAGCGGGTTGAAGACACCAAGACGCAGAGGAGCCGGCACATCCGTCGCTGCTTCTCCGAGTTCTGCGAGCTGCGCGAGAAGCTCCTCGCACTCATCGACGACGAGATGGCCACGTACCTCACCAGCCCGGACATGGACAACATCGAGAGCAGCTTCAACACCAGGTCCAACGTCAGCTTGAGTGCCAGCGCTAGCTCCAGTGTCAGCACTTGTACCAGTATCCCTAGCTGCGCCGGGTGACATCGCTCCTCGTCGAGCAGGTTTGACGTTGTTGCAGTCCACACTTCGTGACGGAGCGACGCGCGGGGCTGCAACGCGGTGGCTTCCAAACTCGAGGAACGTCTCGATGTGGGTCATCATGTTGAAAGCAAATGGCGATGAGTTGGCGCTGGCGAACGACTTCGACGACCTCCAGAGCATGCTGCAAGAAGCGGTTGAGCGCCAGAGATCGCGCCTCAATCACGCGCTTGGAGCGTGAGCCAAGCAGTTTTCGCGGCGGGAACTGCTTGAACACGAAGGCGAAGCGGTCGGACGTCGGCGTCTGGCGATGCCTTCCGCGGTGCGAGTTAGGACGTCGGCTGCTGCTTCGCTGACTCCGGGATTCCACCACTACCCGTTGGTACCAACTCCAGCCTTCGCGATGACGGTGACGGACCACAAGTATCAGTCCTGCACCAGCAGATATCACCTCAGCTCCAGCAGCGAGGAGGACGCAGGCGGCAGTGACGACGAGACTCAGCGCTTCAACAACTTCGACTTCACGCGGCGATTCTACCGCGAGTTCGGCCGCCAGGAAGAGCGCGCGGAGATTTACGCGGACGACTCGGACGACGACGAGGAGATGCAGATGCTCAAGAAGACATGGAGCGCTATGCTCGAAAGCGAAACACACGAGCGCAAACTGTACCACAGCGGCAGTCACTTCGCCATGCTGGAAAGCGCACGGCACTCACCGACTGAGACGTGGGCGAGACGCATCGAGATCGCAGGCATCCACAACGCAGTCAAATCTAATGCAACCTTGAGCGCCACCTGCCCAGTTAGCACACAGAAGGCGCCCGAGCCAGCGACTCACAGAGCAGAGCAGCTCCTAAGTCGCCACCGATCACACCAGCAACTTCCAGTCCAGCACTTCCCGACCTGCGCTTGAGTCGCGTCTGCAAGACTCTGCGCGCAAAATACTCGTAAGCTAGTCAGTGAATTAGGAAGTGAGTTTGTGTGAATTACCACGCACAGCGCCACGGTTGGGAACGGCTGGAGTTCCAGGCCATCGAAGGAAGTGGCCGCCATCGTTCCCCAGCTTGGCGAAACTATGAAGTAGGAGAGAAGTAATCTAACAGGCCATAGTACCATTAAGTTGTCGACATGCCCACACTCGCCGACTTTACAGTCGATTCCAAAGCCTCCTCCTCCAGGATCACCTTGTGTGCAATCTGCACGATGCGCTCGAATGCCAGGTCAGAGTACCGTCGCCAGCAGACGTGGTCGCGCCACTGCCGAGTTGGAAGCTGCGGCGTCGTCAATCCGTGAAATACCTTGGCCACAGCGTAACTCGTCCATTTGATACCTTCATCGTTGCTCGTGCTCTCTTCAGTATCACTGCCCTCAAGCGGACCTCCACCGCCAAGACGGAGTTGAATGAGTGAGCGTGTACCTCGCTCGATAGCCTCGATCAGAGACTCGGTCAGCGGCCGCAGCATTTTCTGCAGCAAACGCTCATCCTCGTCACCTTCGACGTCGTCTCCACCGGCTGCAGCATCATCCTTATCGTCGTCGTCTTCGAAGTAACGTACCGGTTTGGTCTCGAGAGCATGGGCCTTATCATCCAGATCTTCTTCGTCTTCTTCATCTTCGCCATCACGCGCGGTTGACGTCGGAGAAGGCGCCGGTAGAGCTGCCGCGTACAGCGCTCCATACAAATGAGCGAGACGAGCAAGCTGGCGCGACTCGAGATGCCCGTGCTTCGCATACAACAGCTTCGTCCATCGGTCCACGACTTCACTCTTCATCTCGTCGGTCAGTTCAGCCCTCCAGCTCAACTGCAGCTGGAATGCGGGCTGTGACAGCGAAAAGCGCTGGATCTGACCAGTCTGTTGAGCCGCTCGCAATTCTTGTAGCAGCCGACGCTCATTCGTGGCGGCAGCGACCGCAGCAGCATTGGTTTCACCCGCCTGCTGAGCGTCGGAAGCTGCTAACAGGGCTGCAGCTTGGTCTCCATTGCTGTTGGCACCAGTCGTCCGTCCGTACCATTGAGCTACTTCGTGCAGGTGGCAGTCGATAACCCAAGAGCTCAGATACCCGTCCTTACGATGTGTCACGCGTGCATTAGGCAATTCCTTGCGCTGCACCGCTCCGAGCAGTGACTTACTGTAGATTGCGGTCCCAGTTTCTTCGCTTGAGTGTCCAGCAGCTGCAGTGTACATTGACTCATGCTCAGAGGTTGGAGTGCCACGCGTAAACCCAGCTCGTCGTCCTTCTGACGCTGCGTCTCGAGGGCCAGCAACGTGAGGAACGTCTCGATCGAAGCCGCCTTCAGGTCAAGGTGGCGCTCCAGCCAATCTCGCTCGAGAGACTCCAGCGTCAGGTCACTGCCAGCTCTCTGACCTCTTCCCGAGCACTTCACAGCCACTACATGCTTCTTGCTCGCTGGGGATAAGCTCTCCCGACTCTGGAAGACAAGAGCCATAAGCCTCCGAAGCTGGTCGCGATGTAATGCGGTTGAAAACAGTAACGAGCGGAAGTGCACCGCGTCTTCATTCAGCAGATACAGCAACGCTCGCGCAGACTTGCCGTCACGACCTGCTCGTCCAATCTGCTGCACGTATCCCTCGACAGACGACGGCATGTGGAAGTGCACAACAGCCCGCACATTCTTCTTGTCAATGCCCATACCAAATGCGATAGTAGCCACCACAACGCGCACTCTGCCTCGCGCAAAACCTGTGCGGACCTTTTCCTTCGCCTCAGGCGCCATGCCAGCATGAAACGCCACCACCTTTCCAGCAGTGCGCCAAGCGTTGGGCAATTGTTCACGCAGCAGAGCTGCAAGTTCCTCCGTCTGCCGTTGCTGGTGAACGTACACGATAACACCTCCACCGCCAGCCTTGGAGGACTGTGTTGATCCTTTGCTCAACTCGGGGAGGATGTGGACGAGATGCCGCAGTCGCTCATCATTCGACCGGACGGAACGAACTTCCAGCGCCAGATTCTTCCTTTGCCATGGCATCTGCAGCACCATGTCGCTCTCGCTCTCGCCACCTTGATTCTGAAGCTGCCGACGTGAGCGCAATTGATGCAATACATCGTGGACAACACGTCGCGAGGCTGTGGCAGTCACACATGGGTGTGGCGGAAGACCTCTGCCAGCCGCAAGTAGCTTGGACGGAAGTGGTGGGACCACTCTGAGACGCAATGCGCTTCGTCGACACACACTAGTGCCAAGCGCGCACGGACCCGCGGTAACGCGAGCAGCGCTTGCATTCCAGCATCCAGCGCCTTCTCCGGCGACAGGAAGATCAGAGAGAGTTTGTCCGCCAGCAGATCACGCACAAAAGCCGCATGCTTCGCCTTGGACGAGCCTGAATCCGAGCCGGAGCCGGAAAGACACAAGGAGCGAGCCTTCAATGGGGCGGGGAGACTCTCGTACTGGTCGTTCATCAGCGAGATAAGCGGCGAGATCACGAGCGTAATTCCAGGCAAGAAGAGCGCTGGGAATTGATAGCACAGCGACTTGCCTGCACCCGTGGGCAACACAAGGAGAGTGTCCTTACGACGCAGCACCCTTGAGATCGCCCACTGCTGGCCAGGACGAAAGTCGGCGTGCCCAAACACCAGAAGCAGATTGGTGAGCATCGCCTCACGTTGCTCCTCTTCAGTAGCTTCAATATCCAGAGGAACGCACTCAATGGCTTCTGCTTCAGCTGCGGACTCAGCAACACCGTCAGAGGAAGAAGAAGCCGTGAAGAGTGTCTGCAGTGCAAGCGGGACGTGGTCGTCTTCCCAGAGGAAGAAGTCGCAGCGACCTTCATCGAATCCCAGCGGGCAGGCGAAGAACTTGCGGCCGTGGTTCTTGTTCTTCTTCTTGACCTCCAAGCTCTGACAGACCAACGCATGATGACACCTCGGCGGTGTCAATGACTCGGCCTCCTTCTTCGGTTTCGATTTTTCTTGACTAGAGAGACCACGCGCTTTCTCGGCTTTGGCCAGCACTTCCAGACACTCCTCGGTGAAGTCCACGCCGTCGTCAGCCAGCATCGACTTCTCCTTCTTACTCTGTTGAGTACCGTTCGCATTGACCACCGGAGCGAGGCCTGAAGATTTCTCACCTGTAGCTTCGTCCAGCAGGTTCTCATTACGTGCGCGCAGATACGCCGGTCGCTTCTTGGCGCGCCCAGAGCTGCCCTTGAATCTCTTACGCATGTTCAGCTTGACGAAGTTGTCGCTCACCGCACTTTGGGCGTCCTCGGCCTTCCAGCGCTCAAACTCCGCAGCCTTCCGAGCATCACCCACATCACCGGAACCCGCGTCGTTGCTGTCAGATGGAGCGTCGAAGTCATCGAGAGTGAACCCACTGTTCCCAGCCGTCGCGAAGCCCCACGCCTCCTCTTCTTTCTCGTCATCACTCAGAGCAGCCTTACGTTTGCCCGACACCTTCGTCACCTCCTTGTCTTTATCTGTCTCTGCATCAACCACCGACAGCCCTAAAGACGACGCATTGGCGCCTGTATCTCCACTGGATAAAACACTGTTGAGCTCCTCCTCGTCGCCTCCTTTCTTGTCCTTCTGCTGCTCCCCGAAGACCTCCTGGAAGACACGATCAAAGCCCGTCTCTTGACGTTCTCTCTCCTGCTGCTTGGCCCGTTCCGCTGCTTCATCTTCAGGCTTCTTAGCTGCTCCACTGCGCCACAATTGCTGGCGCTCCTGTACAGACATGGAGAGGCCTAGTGGACCTCCTTTTCGCTCATTTTTCGGCTTCGGCTGCGTCTTTTTCGCCGCTTTTTCGGGCTCTGAGGGCTTAGTGACCTTCTTGCTTGCATCAGGTTAGACTTTCTTCTTTTTCTTCTTGTCTAGAGCCCGTAGCAGCCACGCAGCGTCGTCTGTGCCTGAACTAGAGGTCTTTTGAGCTTTGACAGTGGGGTTTGGGGCCTTCCCGGCGCTCCTACGAGGCGCAAAAAGAGGTGCAGATGTGCCTGAAGACGCAGAAGATGGTGGTGCTCGAGAGGACAATGGACGATCTGCTGGAGCTGAGGTTGCAGCGCTTGAAGCCCCACCAGGAGCTGCGTGCGCCGGCTGCCGGCGCGGCCACATTTTCGTTCGAAATGGTCCAAAAATGGTGGCGCCAACACCTGCGATTGGTCGAAAACATTAACGTAACGCGTAGCGGCGGCGCTCGGCTAGTTGGTCCGCCATCGTTGTATATTAGTAACTTTATATTTATTAGGATGAAAAGCAAATTGAAATTGAAGTCAATAGGATCTTACGCGTGGTGCAGTCAGTCCACAGCAGGTGCCATATCCTCGTGCTCTCTCCACTTCTTCTCTATCTCTTTGCGCTTCCACTCCATGCAGTCGCAAAACACCTTCTTGTTCTGTACGTAGATGGATGTTCGCATCTCCAAGCCATCATCCGACACAGCAAAGCCTTCTTTCAAACGCAGCGAGAGAAGTCTTGCGAATCCAGCATTCCACGCGCGCACAACCAAATCGACCTATGGCATCGTAAATAATGTTAGAACAAGTAGTATTCAGCACGTACTCAAACTACTCGTACCTTGTATCTGTTGCCGATTACAAATCCTTCAGATGTGGACTCGACGGAAATTTTCATCGTCGGCACCGCATAGGACCGAGCATCAAACCACTCGTGCATTTCTGCAGAAAGAGCAAGACGATTGCTTGGGTCGTTGTCATACTTCTTGTAGCTTGGATATTTCCGGCAATGCTCTCTGGACATCACATGGCAGCTCTGTGCCTTCCCCACCGACCCGAACCACTCTTCACTCTCGATACGCTGGTACTTAAATTCGTCAGTCGCTACGTCAACGATCGAGGTGTTGGACGAGAAAGTCGTCATTGAGACTTGAGGGGACTCGGTATCATCTGGAACATAATGCATGGCAAAGATGCGTCGCAGTTCGCTTAACTCCCGAGAAACTGGGGCCACAGTCGTCGAGATCGTGTGGCCATCGAGTGGGGAAGTTTGCTTGATACCTTCGGTCTGCAGTTCGTTTTCAAATAGCAAAGCATCCCTCTCTGTACAACATCTGTGAGACATCAACCAGCACAGTTCTACAATAACCAAAATGCATACCTTCTTTGAAAAGAACATGGATCCGCAACATCACCTCATCATACCACAGCGCCTTGTCGGTTTCGCCAGCACGAAGGTTGGGATCGTAGTATCCAAGGCATGACCCCGCCAGTCGGTACAGCCTGCAGCGAATCCCTTTCGTGTTCAGCGCGTTGCCAACGGATCCAGTGACAAGCCACAATCCAGTTTGTGCGTGTTCTTGCTCCGGAACCACCACCAGCACGTGAATCTGGTCCGTTGATGGCTTCTGCATGCCCTTCAACACTTTCTGCAGGCCAGACTCCCCCTGTAGCTCCTTCTCTTCGCTTGTTAAAGCCTCAACTGCGACAGTCTTCTCGCCCTTCTTCAGCTTCTTCACATCTTCTGAGTCGGACACGAGCCACGCGCCGCCCTCCGTCTTCGCCAGGAAGAGCTGCAGGTCCTTGGCGTCGCACGTGATAGTCGCCGGGTTCTTCGCCTTGATCGCGTCCTTCAAGTCTCCCACCGACTGACCCGCGTCAATGTCCACAGGGAAAGCGCTTCCCGCCACACCAACGATCGCACAGAAGAGCTTCACCATCTTTCCTCGAGGCAGCAGATTCTGGAATGAGGAAAAAAAGGGGGAGAGAATTTCCGGACGTATTTAAGCGGAAATGAAGGCGTGTCACATAGCTTTTCAACCAATGATGAGACGCCACGTGTCGCGCGTGGATGATATTGTTTTTCTTTAGAATGAAACCCTCTTTGCATGCAATCCCAATGTTGCTATATGCGGTGCTTGCAGGTGATAAGGGTGTTCCTTCTCACCAGAGGGTATTGATCGCGTGCATCGTTGAAATAACCTCTTTCACGGAGAACGTTCTACGACTGTTCTCTATGGTAAATTACGGGGAGAAAAAAACTGACTGGGTTTTTTCCAGTACCCACTACTCACGCACTGCAACGCGCCATCTCCTGTTGCAGAAGCTGCAGAGTTAGGGGTGAACTGCGCGTCAACCACAATGCCGTTCTCATCTGGTTCTTTCTCGTCCTGGAGGGTGAAGCGAACCAGCAATTGACAGCCGAAGTCTCGGGTGTGCTCCATCTTCCAGCGCCAGCGCATCATTGGCCCCTTCCATCGCATCCCACCCTGGGTTAATCCGACGCAGAATCGGCTCCACATAACACGTAAACTGCAACGGGCTCTGAGTCGAAGTGTAGTTGATACCGTTCAGCGAAAGGCTCAACACGGCCGTGCAAGGACCTTCCACGGCCGGATCCACAAAGCGCACAGCCTCACCGACGATTTCTCCCCGTACTAGCATCGACTGCAGCGACGTCCTGCTGCTCAGCCTCCGCTTTTGCGGCGGTAATGACGATAACGGGTTGACCCCTGCCACGACGCTCTCTCTCGATAGTCGTTTAGTGATCGGGCGCTAGAATTCATCTTGATACAGCTGGATGGAGACGGTGATCTAATCATTCTCAACGATGCTTCCGCACCACGTCAATACCTCCGTTAAACCTTGTCGTTGACTGAATACTCGTTGCCTCGGTGTGGCGGGTCGGCGAGGACTGCTCTCCAGAAGCAGTCATTGCGGGCACTAGCGCTGGCATCCTTCTTTAGCGCGCGGACCGTTTGAATCGCCCCAGTTCTGCCCGCTTCGATGATTTCTTCATCAAGCACGGGATTGATAACAAACCCGCGGGGGTCTTCGTCGATGACGGAGCCGCGAACTCGTTGATGGCCAGCATCAGCTGATTCGAGAGCACGCGCACAGCGTCCATTCCAGCACGACTGGGCGAGACGCATCGGGTGATCGCTTGAACCAACGCCTCTGCGCTGATATTGCTTGCGAGCAGACGCACGAGTTCCCGGTGGTCGCGGACCAGTGAGTACCAGCGAACAGCTTCGAAAAAGCTTTCCGTGAGGGCGATGTAACTGGCATACTCGCGCAGCGCTTCAACGACAGGAAGCTCTCCATCTCTGCTCGCCAGGACGATCGTGTCGTCGAAGAACTGCTCGAGCCGAGCAAGTACGTAAGAACCACGCGAGCGCATTTTGTCGTACACGGCAGTGACGCTCCGCAACTCCACGTGGCACAGCAGGATGTTCACGTGCCACAGGTCTTCATGGCTGACGGCCACGCACAGCGCCTTACCTATTAACCTCGCACCTCTCGAGAATCAGCTCCGTCAGCAGCGGCGTATTGCTGCGCGTCGACCTCAGCAGCAGGTCAGAATAGTCCTCCACCAGCCTTAGGTCCGGCAGCAGCAGCTCCACGATCTCCGGGTGTCGGTTGACTGCGGCGGCGCGCGCAACGTAGAAGACGTGGCTCTCGCGGTTAGCCTCCGGCACCGGGAAGTTATAGCCATCTCGTGGGTTGCGTCCCCGTTCCGTGATTCGGTCCGACTTAGTTGAGAGGACTCCGTGGTCGCGCGCCCATTGCACCGCGTCGTAGCTGCCATTGGCGGCAGCATCGATGGCGTCGCACGAAGGAAATCGCAGATCCGTTTACCCAAGTGAGACACGAGGTGTTCGTTGAGCGTATCGGTCGCTTCCGGGTGGTCGGCGATGACGCGTACGTAGTACGTTTGACACTACTATCTACACGTTGTGTGCTAATTGGCGGGGGTTGTGCGTTAACTGTAGCGCTGCGGGGGCGAATTTCAACGAGGTGATTCATTGTGAAGTGACCGTGAGCGCGAGTACTCCAGTAGAGGTGCTGCTTCTGTCAAAGTACGACGTCTTCAATCGTCTGTCGCGATCGGCTCGAGACACCTTGCGCGCTGCAGCCCAGTCGCACGCGGAGAGCATCGTGTACATTGATCGATTCCACAAGACGCAAAAGTGGGAAGCGTACAAGCAGAAGGTGCTCCGAGAACATGTAAACCACGAACGCATTGAGAAGCTTTTGCCGTCTGCTGCGGCGGCAACGCGCCGCGGTGCAACTAAAGAACCCTCTACCGGAACTACCGCAAAGATCTCGCAGACACAGCAAGCTGCAGCTGCCCAAACGACGGAGCCGAGGCGGACTTCAAAGACGACCGAGTCGGAGAAAGTATCTCAACCCTCAGGGGGGGGCGACGCTCCCTCGAATTCCTCTTCCTCCTGTGAGCGAGGATAAATCTCCCGATACTTCTCGCAGTATGGCTTCGAGCAATAATACAGCGAGGCAAGCCCTGGTCCCAGCGAACGAGTTGCTGCTGCTGGCTCAAGAGACTAAGGCCATGAAGAAGTGTTTCAATCCAGACCAAACACTCGGCAACTACGTCACATCCTTCAACGTGGACACACCACCCAGTGCCGCTCGACAGCGACAGCTAGACGGTGTCTTGGCGGCCGAGGAGCGTCGACAAGCTGAAGTGCTGAAGGAGGGCAACTCGCTAGCATTTTTCGACATCAAAGTGGTCGAGAAGCAGATTGGTACGACGTGGAATCGCACGGCAAAGCACCTGGAGGAGGTTGAGCAGAGCATTGGCGACGAACAAGCACCGGAAACCTGTCGGTCCTCTCGATCTTCTCGGTATCACCGCTGCGCCAGCCGTCTCCGAGTGTACGAAACTCGAACCAAAACTTGACCATTACGTCACAAGCCTTGAGTCAGCTTCTGCAAGAAAACTTCATCTTCTCTCGTCCTCCAGGAAGCAAACCACAAGCCCCCGATGTTCGAAACGGAAGAGTACAACAGCGCAAGGCCACCTCCACTTCACCAACGCGAAACCCTCCGCCTCCCCATTGAAGGCGTATTCACCGTCCCGCTTCACTGCACAGACCGAAAGTACGAGTGAGACAGATTATGCGGTCTTTGTCATCCTAGACGAGAGTAGCGAGGAGCGATCAGAGGCGACGTTTGCGCCCAAGAAGTCTCCAGCTTTTCAGATTCTGCAGTCCGCTAGATCTCTCTTTGCGATTCGTGAAGCAGCCGAGAGGTTCCAGGAGAGCACGGGAGTGACGAAGCTCAAGTACTTCGCTTTACCGCTCAAGACGTACGCGCTGATGCCGCGAGCCGATCGATCGAAAGTTGATGAGGAGCGACTCTAGCTACAGCAAGTGGCAGAAATGAGTCACGGATGAGATCGATGTCTACGTGGAGCCCGCTCGTGGAGGAGTCCACGATCTCTCTCCACTCAACTGCAGGAGACGGAAGTGTACACTTCGCCTCATTCCAAGAAGTGGCGATGTCTCCGGTTCCTAGCGCGTCGAACAATAATGAATCTCGACCATCTCTGCCTGGCCGATCAACCACGACCGCCCATGTCACCTCGAAGGAAAACTTTCAATTCAGGTACCAGCACTGCTCGATGCACCTTTGCGGTTGCGAGTGTGGTGCTGTCAAAGCTTAAGGCGGCCCATGCGCAGTACGAGGAACCGTTTGTGGCCGTGCACGCACTCTTTTCCTCTGAAATGGAGGCGGTGACCTTCGCCATGAACATCAAGGCCTCTCAGCTAGTTAATAGCGCCATGTTGTGCATCTTTCCCGTGGGCAAGTGGATCTACCTCGAGCACGCGCACGACTGGTTCGTACAAGTGGAAGCCAACAAGCGCGAGAAGCGCGCTCCATCCTTGACTGGAGTATCGTCGACTACGTCGTCTCCGACGCGCTCGAGGCGGTTGTCGCTCGTGGTGGAGCCCCCCAAGCCTATTTGGGAGCAAGAGCGTGACGACGCTCGTCGCCTTCACAACTTCATCTGCGCTCGCATGGGCGCCCCCATGCCCGACAAGAAGAAGGACCGGACGGAGGAGAACGGCGGCTTCACCCCGCAGCCACTCGTCTCACTAGAGGACAAACTTGACACGCTTCACAGTTACCTGCAAGCGACCGCAGCATTCACGGCTCGAACGGGTTACGGGGGAGTGGCGATGCTCAAGTATCGGCAAGTCAAGCGCTTCGGGTCCATTATGAGGTCCCGCATTTCGGGTACACAGCCCCACGGCAATGGCAACAGCAGCAGAAGTGGGAACTCGCCCCCGCCTCGAACCTCGTTCTCCCATGTTATTCCTGGTTAAAGGTTGGCTGGGAAGGCTTTTAAAACGTGTTGGTATTTCCTGTAGCCTAGTACTTCGTAGTAGATCGCACTCATGCGAAGTGCTGCATTATCAACTTGAACGATCAAGGAGACGTATCTGCATTACTATACAGTATGAAAATTTCACATTTAATGGAAATACGGATCTGCGTGCACAATAAATTTGTGTATGGAAACCCAAGGGAACAGCGCTCTATACCTTAGCTTAACCGGAAAGCTTCAACTTCATATACACTTTGCAAATACTGCACAGATCCCTGTGCACATAAAAAGTAAACGGACTACAGTGTAGTACAGTATCAAAAGGAACAGCACTCTAACTCTAAAGGGCCTTCATCATCATCAGGTGAAGATGTAAAGTGCCGTCAACAAATTTACGCATGCAGTCGGTTGGGCAACATTCAGCAAATTGGTTCGTCCAGAGCCTTGTTGTCAATTTAGAAACAAGTGCCTAACTAGCACGACAATCCAATGCGTTTCCTGTGCTTCGCATTGCTTTGCGGCGTTTTTTTCCTCCTCACAAAGGTCGATGCTGCCTCGACGGTGACGGACTCGAAAGTTTCCACCACGGCTGTGGCTTATTCGACTTCTGTGGATACCGTCCCCACCAAAAGCCTCAGGGGCGATAAAAGTAATAACGGCGAGAGCGAGGAGAGAGCGTTCGGCATCAACGCGATTCCTGGTCTCAAGAAGATCACAAACTTCGTCGACAAGCAGAAGACCGCGAGTTGGCTGAAGAAGGGAAAGGTCGCAGACGATATCTTTGCCAAGATGAAGCTGTGCCGGCCGAGAAGCTGTTCGAGAGCCCCAAGTTCCTCGCATGGGCCAAGTACGTGAGTCAGTACGACCTCAAGTACCCGGAGAAGGCGAAGACGGTGATCCCAACTTTGACCAAGACCTATGGCAACGACGTCGTAGCCAAGACGCTCGAAGCTGCGACAAAGTCCCCGGACTCGTACAAGCAGTCTGCAGACCCAACAGCTTGAGTACGGAAGGGTGTACGAATGTCCACAGACGACGTCTTCCAAGCGCTCAAGCTCAATGGCAAGCTGGACGACGTCCTCACCGACCCGAACCTGCTGGTGCTCATGCCAATAAAGTATTCATATGAATTCCAGGAATCACCAATGCAACGCACAATAGATCAGCGGGATGATGATTTTCGTATACAAGACCAGAATCACAAACTCCGCGGTAAAGAGCGCGCTTGCGCTGCGTTCCAGAAACCACTGGCGCTCCTTGTTGGAGAAAATCTTCATCAACGGTGTCTCGGTTGGAATCAACTCCAACGAGAGACTCTTCACCTTTTGTACAGGTCTGCTGTAGGGAGTGAGTGGCGTACGGGCTCAACTGGAATCAGCTTTCGGTCTCTTGATGGGATATTCACTTGTCGAAGGGTGCTTAAGGTATTCAGATTGAAGGCGCTTAGATATGTCGTCGACTTTGCCAATGGACCGTAACGCAGCAACGAAAGTCTGGATCTCGCTCTCGGATCTTCTTAGAGCGATCTCACTGAAGCTTGCGGCTTTTAGAGGGTGGTCAGCGGAGATTTTTCGACGCAGAAAAAGGATCGCGTTACTGAGATGCCGAATATCCAATAATGATACAAGCCCGAGGAGAATGTCCAACGCAACCACTGCACCACCGTAGTGCTTGAGTGCGAGTTCTCCATCGAGCTGGAAACGTACAATGCGTTAAACACGTCGACGTTAGATATCATGACCTGAGGGATCAATTCGTAGTTGTTGCCGAAGCAGTAGCTAATTCAGTTCCTCGCAGCAATTTTGATGACTGGGAGCAGCATGACGTAGAACTTTTTGGTTTTTGGCACTGACGCTGATGAATCCGTACAAGTACGCTGGGTATACGAAGGTCAGCAACACTTGGCAAATGAGCACGATGATGGCCCTTATCAGCTACTTTAACAGCACTCGGTTTTGATTTAAAACTCTGCCGAAGAAGTCCACGAAGCATGCGACCAGCACTAAGAACCAGACGTTGATCCCCACTACAAGAGCAAAGGGTAAAGGGAAGCCAATGACGCTTGCCATCGATATCTATCATGAACACCACAGCCCCTCCACTCGAGATGATCGGCATCAAACAAACTTGAGTCGATGTGAGGTTGAGAGCTGGCACGGTGACTTGGAATTGTTCGAGGATCACTCTCGTCATGAGAGCCATTGTGACGAAGTCTCGGACCCAAAACAGATATTTCGCACTGGAGCCATCTCTGGGTGAAGCCAATGGAACATCGTCAATTGATATGAGGATCACCAAACACGGGAAGGGTGAGATCAGACTGACGATGATTGTCCAGGACAACGGCGTGGTTTGGCTGTAGGCTAAGAGCTTGCGAATACGCTCTGATGAATACTGTCCGCGAAGTTTTGGTTGGAATGTTATCGGAAGCTTGCGAGCTCGACGCCAGAAGACGTGTAGTCGTTGTCTTGCGTCGTCAAAAGAGTCCATAAGTCAGACTTCGATGTGAGCGAGTTTGATGAACTCACCATGATGAACACGAGCTCCTTCCCACTAACGCGATCGCGACTGATGCTATTTTATACCTTTGCGCCGTTGTCCACAAAGTGAACCATTTTTTTATAGAAGAGTATTACTTACAGCAGTCGATAGGGCGCGCAATAATAGCGCAGTTATCGAATTTTGGGCTTTTACGATTCGAAATAGGCGGGGGAAACGATAATTTAAAGCTGCATCTGGTGAAGCAAAGGCATTGCAGGCAACGGAAACGGTCACGCAACTGCAATGCACCCCCTTCGAGACGAACCATTGCGATCAGGAAAGAACCTTATTATAATTTTGCAGGAGCAAATTCGAAGTCTTGAGCATATTGAAAGTTATGATACGGTGCAGTGAAGTGAAGCAAAATAATTCTGAGGAAGTGTAAAGAGATGCCGCCCAGAACTAGATATCTGTTGGATCGCGTCACAAGATACTGAGACTCGTAAGAAATAAAACGCCCTTGCTCATCTTCATAGGCATACGCGTGGTCTTAATAATTCTACATGAACCAAAACCTTTAGTATCCACGTTTAGTAGGTGAAAAGCGCACTACTTATCGGTGCTAGCGACCCGTACTGTAGTGAGTTTTTCGAGATCTTCATCAAGATGTGTATCGTGCGCGATACCTGTATCCGATCCGGGAACTCGCTAACCGTATTAAAACTCTGGACGCCTTGCCGACCGAGTAATACTGATTTACTGTATTACTAATACAGTAAACAAAGCCATCGGTGGAGTACCGTTCCAAGCGCCAGCTGTTCATCGCGACGACATCCAGTTCTAGGGACGCGCGCGTACTCGCCGAAATCGGCCGTGGGCTTCATGGCGGACAGCATGAGCGATTGGTTGAACTCCTCAATCATCTCAAACGTGTACGGGGCCTTGAAGCGCTGGTCTTGCTTCATATTCGGTTGCGTGCGCGCGTCTGCGTGGGGTGGGGGACTTTTGGAAGCGACTTGGGGAATGAGCACCCGCCGGTATGCCCCCGGTGATGCACTGGGCCCTTTAAAAGGTTTATAGTATAACCCTATGCCCAAGCATATTCGTAGTTCGTAAGAACTATAGTACACAGATTATGGCTACCGTAACATCACCAATTTGTACATTTCGTGGCTGGTTGTTCCCAGAATGTCGACTGTATCCGTAGTGTGTACCACACACTGTAGTGAGCAGTTCTTAAATTTATGAAATTTATTTGGAAAATCATAACTAGTATAGCTGCATTTTCTCCTTATAAGCTAACATTTACTCAAAATCATTGAAATCACAACTAACGGATTGCACTTTTTCCTGCGGCTTTGGGCCCCGCTCTAAATCCCACGAATCCTTCTTGTGTAAATTTGTATAGCTGGAATGCATGACGTCAACGCGCTCGGCCGGGGGCAAAGCCCCCGGCCGAGCGCGCCTTTAACTTCTTTCGTGTCTTTTGCACGGCAACTTCGCCAATTTTTGCCAGGAAGGTGCTACACCAGGGTTTGAAAACTTGCCACCAATTTTCATGTTACATTATTCTTGCCTACCCCACGTTTGCACACAAAGGAAGTCTACACTGTCCTCCCAGACCAAAGTTTCGCCTACGAGAGTCTCTAAACGGTTATCGTAGTGTCTTAAGAGCTCGGTACTGTACTTGTTGCAGACAGCGAAGTAGCTGCATGCATCGCATTGGCTGTCTTGCCGAATCGATTGAAGTTCGAAGCTCCCCGTGACGTGTACTACACGTCGGGAAGACAAAGTGTACATAACGGCTAACTTCGGGCTTGGTTAACACATTGTCTCGGAACGGTACTCGCCTCAGACGCGTATGCGCATGTCGTAAGTTACGAGTTACAGATTCACTTGATATTTGTAAGGACCATGTGTTTCTCGTCGGGATAGGTGTATAAATTGTCATCAGGTTTTCTCGCCAATGTTGTAAGTGATACGACATAGAAATAGAGCAATCGCCGCTCAATGTCGTAAATGACCCCACTTGCAGTCAACAGATGGCTGAGGAGGTGCACTGTTCTGCAGATTCGATCAGAAATCACATGAAAGAAGGTGCATTGGCTCAACAAACGTTTATTCAACCACACGAAACTGACCACTGACTAACTGCAACGCAACCTACACGCTCACTGTCATTGCTGTCATTGTCCACCATCGCTTCCTTCTTCGCGGGGAAGCAGTTCCTACCGTGTCTTCTTGCGCTTGCCTGCGTTCTTACCGGGCGTGCGCTACACGGCGCGCTTCCCCAGGTCTAGCCGGTCACCCTGAGTTGCCGCCAAAAGTGTCTAAAGTCAACTTCGTGTGCTGGGTGAAGGTTCTTCACTTATCCTTCACTGAAGGATATCTGTCTGGTCCAACTCTGGACGTACTGTCCGGACTCTGGACCAAACTGTCCAGGCTCTGGATCAAACTGGAATCTTTCACCCACCTGAAACCATCCTCTGACCCGGTTCTGTGAGCTTGTCGCAAATACCTCTCGCACCTTATAGGTTGCGGTTGCATGAAATAAACTTGATTAAAGTATGAGAATATCGTGTCTACAACGCGCTCAATGTCGTAACTTACAACATAAAAAACAGACATGTCGTAACTTACGACGTTCGGAGACAAGGTGTTAATAACCAAGCGGATAACCAATGGTTATCCTCTTCAAGCATGGACAGCACCCGCCGCAACGCTTCCGAGACTAGTGGTGATTCCAAATTGACTCTTCCTCGCAAGGCTCGTGCAAGAACCTCAACTTGGCGTACGGTAGCCTTCTGTCCGGCCAGTAATTGAGACTAGGGCTGTTTCGTGCACCAGTTTCGGTAGGGTTATGCCTGTAATTTCAAGAGCTTTAATCGTACTTAGTAGAGAGACGCAATTGATGTCTCAATGGGCTATCCCCGTAATAAAGGGCTGATGAATCTGCACGAAAGTACTTTCGTGTACTTTCGAGCACTGCATGAAACAACCCTAATTGAGACAGCACCCTGCTATTCGGGCGCACTCCAGTGAGAAGAACTTCAGATCAACTTGAGGTCGTCGTGCGCCACCTAGCGAAGAGTTTTCAAGCGTCAATCGCACAGTCATCCCAGCAAGAAGATTGGAACCCTCGTCGATAACGACTTTCGTGATTGCACGTAAGCGATGGTCTGGCTGTAGTACAGTCAATGCACATAGGCCGCTTCGTACAATATTGCAAGCCTTCTACTGTATGAGGCGTCACAGCCGTGGGAGATGTGCACAAGCCGGTCATCTGCCATATTTGGATGTGATCATCTGGCGTAAGCACGAAATGCGTTATGAGCTCTCTCTCTCTCCTATCGGTCACTCACCCTGAGACTGCTCCGTTCACTTGTCTTCTTGCCGAGTCGACCTCGGACACTCCCACCGCTCTGGCCCCAAAATGAGCAGCGCCCTCTATCCCCCCAACACCCACTCGCTCAGCAACGAAGCGATCGGTGCAACGAGGTGCGGAGTATCCACCCACCGCGGCTTCGACCAAGCTCCTGCGCGCTACAGTCAGTCTTCGATCCCACACATGGCCGAGCGCTTCCACCAAAAAATAAAATATAAAATTGTATTGCAGGCTTCTTTCTTCCGTAATAATCATTGCAATACGACTCCCACCAATAATCAATTATTTTAGTGGAACAATACAGTAATTATTGTATTGAGCTTGCCTTTTATCTTGACATTTGTATGTAGATTAAAATACCGACAAATATTGAAGCCCACTAGACTCAATAATTATCATTGCAAGACGCCGATTCCCAATAATCAATTCTTTTAGTGGAACAATTCCGTAATAATTGTTTTTGTATTATTTTTTCCGACCCCTGACCACAAGACTTCATCTCCGTACGAACGCGTCGCCGTGACGATATCTTTCGACCATGGGAGTATCCCTTGGTATACCGGCAAAAGACCAGCTCCTCCTCCTGCACACGACACTCAAGTTCAGACCCGCAAACTTCAAGAAGAAGAAGGCGCCGCGCAGTTGAACCGAGAGCGTCGCCGCTTGACTCAAATCTGGTACCGACAGAAGCTCAAGGACCACGCCGACACTCTCGAGCAGCAAGTACAAGTGTTGCGAGACCAAGTGCAGAGCTCGAGTTCCAGCACCAGACCATCTCTCCACGTATCATCGCTGAGATTACCCCCTGGAGCGTGGTGGCCGAGTACTTCCGACTCAGGGCTCTCCCAATTCAGTATTATATTGAATTGGTAAAACTGCTTGTCAGTAATAGTGATTTAAATATGACGATCGCCAATAATCATTATTATACTGATTAAATATTTGAATTCCATGTATCATGACTGTGTTTTTGTATGCCCTCAAATCATACGAGCCAATAATATAAATTTTAATATGGCACTTGCCAATAATACATATTTTTTCAGATTTATTAACAATTTTCATATTGAATTTTTTTATTGATACCCCTGTTCCGACTGTTCCGCTTCGCCTTGACGGCGTATGTGCCCATATCCGAGCGCTGCAACTCTCCTAACTACCCAACGTTGCACGAGTCGCACGCTCGCCGTGAGTTTCTGCAGCGAGCCATGGCTCCAGATGTGATCGTGGAGAATGGACGAGGCGTTGAAGCGGTGCTGGAGTACTGGAGGTTTGTCTCCCTCTCGCAACCGACCTTCGAGATCCGTGCTGCCAACGTGGAACAAGGTCCCGAAGGCTTCATTGTCGCCAAGACGAAGACCAAAGTCGTTCTGTGTGAGGAGATGCTGCGCCACGCGTTCCCGAAGCTGGGAGAATCTGAGCGAGGGAGGAGTCTAGCTGTGAAGCTACTGACCAGCGATTCGAGGCGAGTGGAGTCACGGTGTTCGGCTGGGACAATGAAAAAGGCTTCGCCAGGAAGAGCTTCAGTCTGGAAGCAGACTCGGGTTCTGAGCTTGAGCAGCGAGTCGGACTGGATGACGCCCATGTTACGCTTGCTTGGCAATGCGGAGGACTTGGCGTTTGTGTTTGACGGGGCTTATCTTACGCTAGACGGTCGACTGAATATTGATTAATCCATACATTGATAGCTTCACTTTTTTTTCAATGCGTAAGGTGATCTCTGTAGGCAGTAGGCTAGTGCAGTAGGCTGCAGAAGTGGAAACGATAAACTCTTCTCGAGATTCTCCCATGGCCGCGGGTTACTTGTCGAATCGCGACACATTTTCAAGATTTTTTTTTCGTTTCCCAGAGTACAGCACTGGAAATCGGACTTTACTTTGATGGCCAAATCCCAATTACCATTGCTACTGCTTACAACGTAGTACATACTTTACATACGCTTTCCAGGAGTACGAAACCACGGTAGATCTTCATGGGCAGCTGTGGCCCTGCCTCAAATCGGCCTGAAGTGCTTCTCAAAAAAAAAAGCAAGCAAGCAAGTCGTCGTCGTCAGCAACAATGTGCCGTCTAGTCGCAGTTCCTCTTGCCAACCAGGACTTCCAGATCCCAACCAGGGCTCTGAGGTCAGCTTATCGAGCAATCAGCCAAAACGGCAGTATCAGCACAACGCGCGTATGCAGACCCTTACCATCCGAAAATGATATCAGATAATTTGCAAGTCGCTGTGCCCATTTGATTGAAGCACGCGGGGTGAGCCTCGAGAATTATACCTTGGACATTTCACCCTATTCACGGGATCAGTTGACATCTGGTGTCGTCACGACAGCGGTTTGGCTGGTTTGGATTTCGATCGACCACCCCTGCGGGATCAACATCGCCGATGTTGGAGAAGTTGGCTAGTTCTTGAACAAGAACATTTACCCAAAGTTGGGTTCTCTGAAGACCCCGTGGGCCTGAGGGTGGACCTGCAACAAAACGTGTGAAGAGGGAATTACCTACAGGTTTCCATGTTTTACAATGCGGAAGTGGAGGAGTAACCCCGTAATGCTTTTCATCTTTGTCGACCCCAGTTGTGCTGCAAAGTTGACAGTCGCTCAAGCTTTATGTACCTAATCCGCGAATCACTGGCAACTCTGTCCTTGAGTACGTCTCGAACGTGGTTCTTGGTGGCATGACACCTAACTCGAAGTAATCTTTGTCCAAAGGCTGAAAGCATTATGCTGTCTGGCGAATTGTGAAGGCGATGTGCCATCCAACCCATACGAGCTGGCCCAAGAATGCTCCGTCGTCAGCCCAGTGCAAGCCACGAGTATTCGGTCTGAACGCCAGCGTGACCGGCATTGACGGCATCATACGCGTTAAGGCGCCTGGTACGTACCGAATGACAGCGGTGGTGAACCACCAGCCAGCGGGGCACAACTTGTTCATTCAGGCCGGATTGCATTCAATCTGCGCACTGTGGATTCGCTCAAGGCAACTTTGGATCGACGTCGCTCAATTGCATGACTCGGGTTCGATCAGCTCACTGTGAAAATGCCTACCCTAAAGCTGCGGGTCGTGGTATTGCTCTTTCAAGAAATACATCATTTGGTAGTGAATGTTCTTTGCTCACGCATTTTTAGGAGTCTACAGCCTAAGGCTTCTGTCGAGAATGTACGGCGGGTGAGCTAGTTTGAAGAGATTAGCTTGGTGGCCCGACAGGCTGCTCCCTCCGAGTTGTGTGTCTACCTGCTGTCCTTCTTTCAGCCGAATATTATACTTATGGGGCATCCACTGATTTCTCCCAACGAATTAACTCACCCACTTTAGTTGTGGCTTGAACTTGACGGTTCGGCAGCGGAATACCTTCAGCTCGTTTCGTAGGGCGGCAGTCGGCATTCCCCGGCTCAATAAATTCTGACGAAGCGATGCCAGCTCCTTTTGAATCTCGTGCATCACGTAATAGTTGTCTTTTTCAGTCGCTTGAGCCGACTCATAACTTCTTCTTGGAGGTAATGAATTTTTGCTTTGAGGATGCCAATGTGCTCCAGGCATATCGGTTTCATTCCGAATGTGTACTCCATCACTCGTGACTTTCGAATGACTCGGATTCTGACCGCAATCTCCAAACGAAGGGCGTCCTTAGTGTTGCTGAAATAAAGTCGCAATACTGGACACGTCGTCGTGTGCACTGTTTAATCCCTCACGAAAACACTGCCACTTTAATGCAAAATAAATAAATAAAATGTTAGAACAATGAGTGATATTTGATATGCCTCGACGTAAACTGAAGCAGCAGCGTTGGTGGTGTCGACGTAGGTTTCAATGCGTAGCCCAGACATTCACCTTTCTGATAGTATCATGGTAGCTAAACAATATTAAAAAAAATGATGTCGCATGACACCTCGTAGTCTTATGTCACCTCCTTCCTGATTTAGGTCTTCGAATTTGAAATCGAAGTATGCATGTTCTCACTTTAGACTAGAGAAGAGCTGCGCAACATCCACGAGCGTTCACAATGAGGAGCGAGGGGGACTGCAAGAGCCTGCCATCTTCTACTAGCTTTTTCAACACAAGTGATTTGGTGCACCCTGAAAGCGCCACCATCATGCCCCCAAGCCCCATTGCCTCGACTTCCGCGCAACCCGTGCTCGAGTTCAATGGGACCACCATCTTTGCACCGCCACCGGCGCCTACCTACCGCTACGCGATCTCGCTCAAGAACGACAGGCTACGCATCATCTGGCTCGAGGACTACGACAGCAAAAAACAATGGTAGGCAGCACGACGTACAGTACAATACGCTGAGCATGATACTACTTTCGCTTTTGCGAAGCAAGCAGTTTCTCCCGCGTTCAAGCTGGCATCGGTCCATTAAAGGTTGTGAGGAAGCGGCGCGAACTTGAGGAAGTTATGCCAGCCGAAGGGAGGCAGCGATGTGCCTACATAGTGACGGGATCATCTGAAGGAGGACCACCACGATTGTATGGGGTAACGGAAGACTGGATACTGATGACCGCAACTGGTATCCCAACACAGGTGCACATCTGAACTAGGCGTTAACGCTTTTGTCGACGCCACGAACGTCATCCCGGACGCTGCTATTGCACGTATGATTTAAGCCTCTTTATTGCAGCTTTCTTGTTTACCAACTGTATGGTCCTCTCCAGTGTTTTTGTGAAGTATTAAATATTGCTGGCGATGGCATTGACAAGATTGCGAGCACATTCAGCCGCGTCAAGGACGAAACCTTCCGGTTGGAGATCGCAGTAACACTTCAGGTGCTGCGTAAGTCCCGTGGGATGACATACGCATTCGTGTTGGAACCGATTTCAGTCGAGCGCATTGACGTTCTGGAATCCAAGGTGCGGGACATGAAGATCGAAATGGATAAACTGCGCCTGGAAGTTGAAAACAAATCCGCATCACTTCAGGCGGAGATCCAGATTGTCAAAGCGGAAGTGGAGAAACTGCGCCAAGAATCTGAAGCACGTGCCGCCTTGCTGACCAAGATACTGGGGGATGTACGAGCTCAGCTTAAAGCGAAAGACATTTTCGTGCTCGCCCAGGCGGTCGCAACCAGCCGAGTTGGCGACGTCATCCGCTGGAGCAATAGCAACCTCGATGGTGTGTTTGGAGAGGACGGTGTGATTCGGTTGCCGCTTTCAGGCTTGTACCAGATATTGGCTGTCGTCAATCACCACGCGGACCGTCTTCCGGAAGCCATTCAGCTGATGAAAGGCTCTACTTGTGTACAGTTCGCCTACTCTGGATACACTCAAGGAAGTTTCTGCTCTACCAGCCTCATGTGCGTTGTCCGTATCGACAAGGGCGATCAACTCACAGTGAAATGCCCCACCGAAGTCGTTGCAAACACCTCGATTACGTTTACCCGCATCGGGGATGTTGAATAGACTACAGAGCTTGTACCAATGTTACGATTTCTATGCATATGTAGATGTAAAGCCCGTTTCGAATCTTCATGTGCTGGCCTTCTTCATGGCTTCCTGCTTGATCAACCCGTATTCTTCTTGCCCTGGATAAGACGAATACTTTTTATAGCGATCCCCACCACTTTTAGCATACTACGTAGTAGGGGTGTCGGTCTCCCACAAGTCAATTGGCGCCGACACGAGATCACTTCGAGCTACCCAGCTCAGCCGATCACTATGTCGTCGGTACCTTTCGGACTGGCTGTAAGCATGGTGAAGTCCACCCTACAAACACCAGGGACGTTTGAGGGCACCACAGCCTTCTCTGCTCCGCCGACACATAAATATCACTACGCCCTCTCCTTAAACAACGGAAAACTTCGAATCACGCTCGAAGGCAGCGACAGCAAGAAGCGTTGGTAAGACCGTTTTCAAGCGCAATACATATTAAACTACAAGCTCATGTTTTCTCCGTTTTAACTCGATGTTTCTAAGGTGCACACAAGAGCTGGACCAAGAAGAATTTGTCGATGGATCGAACTCCATCCCAGACGCCCGTGCGCCCGACTACGCTGAGGTAGTATAAATCTTCTTGGGTGAGTGCACAAAACCTTCGTGGGCTTACCCTTGCTACAATGTTGAACAGTGTTTCCATGAGCTACTCTCATCATCTCTGGAGGGTGTCAAAAACCCTCCGCGAGCTCTTCGCAAAGTAAAAGACGATCACTTGCTGCTCGAGTTTTACGTGAAGGTGAGGGCGTTGTTGAAGTCGGGAGTAGTGACGTACACCTTCAACTTGGAGCCGGTATCAGTGGAGCGAATCGATGTTCTGGAGTCAAAGCTTCAAGATTTGCAACAGGAAGTGAAGCTGCTTCAAGCAGAGGCTGCTGGGAGAAACTCCGCGCAAGAGGAGATGCAAAAAATGATCTCGGATTTGCGAACTGAGGTGAAGACGCTGTGCGGGTCCGTAAAAGCTCCAAGCGTCTTTCTTGCGCGAGCAACAAGTCAGTTAGGCTCTGAAGGACTGCTTCTCTGGCGTTGCGAACATCTCAAAGTGCTCGACCGAGTTTTTCACGATCTGAATCCAGGCATTTACCAAGTGAACGTTCCGGTGCACTTAACGAGTGGCAATGGCAAAATGCAGCTGAATAAAGGCAACCGCATTATTTGCTGCACCGATGGTTTTCTCTTTGTCCAGCATCATCCATGTGCAGGTGACCAAGTATCCGTTCACGTCAATGGCAGCGTCTCGAGTGGTTACATGACGTTCGCTCTCCCCGCGAAGTTGACTGTCTAGATTAGTGCGTGTCGGAGACGACAGAGGTAGATAGTCACTCAGGCTGCAGTGATAAGCTGAAGTGGTTCCCTTGGCTGTACCAACACGGTCCGATTATAATTTTTTTTTTCTATGCCACTAAGGCTCCAGATTTTGCTTTGGTTTATCTACAATTCAATGACTACCGGTAAGCACTATTCGTGAGAATACTCTGTCCGCTGGTTTTATCCAGTTCGTTGCAAGCGTCTTGACTCCCCATCTTGGCTTATGTGCGATAAGCCGATCCGCCAGAACCGAGTACTTTGGCAGCACCATCTTGGTCGTCTGAGAATGTTTAGGGCACGTTCGTCGGTCAATGTCACTCCGGAATTTCCAGCTTTCTGCCCAACACCGCATTAATCAAGATGTCCGGCTTTGAGACGGTACCCGGTGCCTCTGTCCAAGGAACCACCACGGCAGTGCCTGTCCAACCCGTCGCCGTGGCGGTCACGCACGACAATATCGAGTATGAAGGCACTACGACCTTCGCACCGCAGCTGATGCAGATTTACCGCTATTCGCTCTCTTTGAAGAGCTGTACGCTCCGAGCTTGGCTCGAGAACTGCGACAACAAGAAGCAATGGTAATGTTGTCTTCTAATCGATCTTACACTTGAATTGTTATGGTATTGACCCAATATTCATCCTTGGGTGTTGTAGGAGCATTGTTCTTGTGGAATACGTCGACGCGACCAACTACATACCGAATGTAGGCGTTCTCGACTACATTGAGGTACGTCCGTACATTATGCTATGGCGTTAAGTAAGATACTGATCCGTATATTCCTTCGTAACAGTGTTACTGAGTCGCCCTGTCCTAGACGCAAGCGATATCCCAAGGTTTCTGCAGTCTACAAAAGATGATCGGCTGCGGCTGGAATTCTCGGTCAATATTCAAGCGATGCTGCACCCTCGCGTGCTGACCTATGTATTCAATCTGGAGCCGATCTCAGTGGAGCGAATCAATGTACTCGAGGCCAAGCTGCGCGACTTACAGGACGAGGTGCAGCATCTTCGGCATGGCGCTGGGGCAGGTTTCGTAGTGGTGGAGCTACAGAACTCGGTGTAGAAGCTCCAACGTGGTCTGTCGAACCGCGAAGCAGTGATTTAAGATCTCCAACACCAAGTTAAGTTACTGAAGGCCGAAGTGATGAAGCCCCAACGCACTGTAAAGTGTAGCTCCAAGGTCCACGGATTAACTGGTGCGAGTCCTGAATTCATTCAGTTGGAGGCAACTGCCATGTGCGGGAGTAAGTGCTTCTGGTCACCGGTGGAGAACTATTCGAGCTGCCATGCTCTAACACAAACTCAAGACACACAGCAACTTTGTTGATCATAACTCATGTTCCAGTTATATCTTATCTGTCGTTCTATGGATAAAACCATGCATCAGAGCTAAGAGCTAAGAATACGGATCATCCTGGGGCATAGTCTCTAGGACCCGTACTCATTCAAGACGCTAATCAAGAAATATAGAAACGTTTCTATGATATTTCTATGGTATTTCTGACAACGTTGACGAGTTCAACGTGACACTTCAAAGAGCTCAGCTCTTAGAGCTGAGAGCTCTCTCCAAAGCTCTTCAGCAAGATATCTACGAAAGCTCTCGATTCATGTGCTTAACGAGTGACAAGTGCGGAGAAGGCCATCTCTGTCGACACCCACTACGTTTACCTAGCACTACCTTGCTTCATAATAGCCCTAGAGACTCGCGTGACGCGGGGACAGCGTCTCTAAGGTTGCGAAGCTGGTCGTAGATAGCAGCGCAGCGGACGGCGGCGTGGGCGAGCGTCGTCGCATCACACAACACATCTGGTGGAGCGCAGCTGCCGATACGTACGTCAACCCGGAGGCATGTTCAGGCGTCTGCGTGAACACGAACGATCCGAGCATCATCCGTCGCGCTGATGGCACGTACTTCCGCTTCTCGACGGGCGATGGCATCGCCGTTTACTCGGCGCCAGACATCACTGGTCCGTGGGATACAAGGGCGCCGCTGCACTTGGTTGCATCGGCAGCTCGGGCATATCGAAGAGGTTTTACACCTCTGGCTCAGAAAATGCCATGCCGTTCTGAACGCGGAAGTAGCCAATTCAGAAACGAGTTTCTGCTGGACCCGGGCAGCGACGCTGGTAGTAGCTCGGGGCGTTCGTTCTTTGCTCTAGGTAGCTTTTGATGAGACTCTCGAACGGCACACTAACGGCGATGGAAGCGATCGAGATAACCGGCGCTGCGGTGTTGGCTATATTCAAGTTTTGCTGCGACCAGACCGGACACGAATCGGCTGTGGACTCGACGATAATGCAGCACGCGGAACTTTACACGCGCGCTGGAGCTTTATCGAAGTAAACTACCGCTCAATCAACGTAGTAGGTCTTAGCTAAAGCTGGCCTATGTGCATGGGCAGTGTCTACGACAATCAACAAAGTTTCCCTTGCTCAACGCAGAAGAAAAGGAACAATCATTTTATTTAACTTACTTCACCTGCTCAGACAAAAGATCTGACAAATTAAAACTTACCGTATCGATAGAGCTACGTACTTGCTTGTCATCAGCAGTTCGCCAATTTCCGCATATACCGCCGAAGCTCTGCATTGCTACCTGCACACGAGCGTCGGCGTTTCTATTTTCGCAAGATGTACCAAATATGCGGTACAAAATGCTTCGTGCAAACTGCACGATGAATTCCACTACATTTTGCATTATGGGCCGTTTCATTTGATGTTTGTATGCCTGACATTTTCGCATTCGTGGAATTCGCCGGTCAATGAGCACCCTCAGGGCCTCCGAAAATAGCATTGTCAATAACATTATTTCAGAAAATAACAATAAATTACGCATTTCGGCGGGTTCAGCCATCTACCGTGATAATTTATTGATGTGCTTTGTGATATTACATAATTTATGACAGTTACCTTTATATAATACTGTTAGCGTTTTACCAGCCATCTTCTCGCTTCCAGTCGTTCAGAAGAACTGGAATCACTGGTTGTCTGCGTTGCTAGTTGCAGCTCATTTGGCAGCGCTCACTTTTCAATTTTCACTTCTCAAGCCTCCAAGACCTCATCCAGCATGGTTCGCGCTATCCGCCCCCCTCGCCCTACCTACATGAACTCCCAAGTCTCGGGGTTTTACTTCCGCCCGTGTCGCGACGAGAACGACGAGGTGATTCTCGAGTATTTCCGTTGCCGTTGCGGCACGGTCCGTTTTGTATGGAATTCAGGGTGCTGCACCCTGAATTCCATACAAAACGGCTGATTTGCACGACGTTTTCCGTAGAAGTCCGGCTTCGCGAAGGTTGCCAGTAACCAAGCATTGTCCAGCCCCTCTGCTCAAGATACCAATTTAGGCGTGCCGGTCCAATCTGTCACCGAGGCCGTCGTGCACAAAAGCATCGAATACGAAGGCACTACGTCCTTTGCGCTCCCACCGACGCAGCCCTACCGCTATTCGCTCTCACTGAAAAGCGGCAAGCTCCGCATCTGGCTCGAGAACTGCGAAAGCAAGAAACAGTGGTAAGTTGTGCAAATATTATACCGCGGGCGATCCGATCAATCTCTACTGACCGCAGGTGCACGAACGACTTAATACTTATCGACTATGTTAACCCCTCCAACTACATTCCGGATGTGGTGCCGTTGACTGCATCGAGGTGCGTTCATACTATTACGTCAGATCACATTGAAATTTCGGGGTTGATCCACGTACCCTGCTGACTGCAGTGCTTCCGTGAGTTACTGAATCGAGCTGTCGAAGACGCAAGTGAGTTTCCACGATCTCTGCAGAGCACAGAGGAGAGCCATTTGCAACAGGAATTCTCGGTCAAGATTCAAGCGATGCTGCGCCCTCGTATGCTGACGTACGCGTTCGACTTGGAGCCGATTTCGGTCGAGCGGGTTGATATTCTCGAGGCCAAGCTGCGCGACCTACAGGACGAGGTGAAAGATCTCCGAAGTGACGCGGCAGTCAACACGATAGTAGCAGAGCTGCAAGACGCGGTGAAGAAGCTTCAACGTGACCTGTCGGAACGCGAAGTGGCGGATGCTGATCTTCGAAACCAAGTGGGGTCACTTCAAACTGAGCTAACCACTGCATCGGAAGAACTGAAGAACCTCCGGCAACATTTGTCAGGTCGCGAAGAAGTGATTTCGAGGTTGCAGAACGACATCGAGGGGCTCGAATCAGCTGCAGAGCGTCATGAGACCATTCGGTTGGAGGCAACTTCCAAGCATAACGTAAAATTGTTTTGGTCAATGCTGGAAAACTATTCAATCGGAGATGATGGCATCATCAGGAATCTGGAGCCAGGGCTATACCAAGTAGCGTTTCAGGTTAGCCATAGTCACTCTAGTCACTCGGTGGACAACCCTAACTCTGTCAACCTAATGAAGGGAAATATGCCCGTCGCCTATGACATGCGCGCGTCCGATATCAGTACGTTGGTCTGCAATCTAGTGCGGACCTGCCTTGAAAGGCATCAGTCAGCTGACACTGACACCTCACATGATGAAAAGTAGGATTGCAACAGTTGGACCTAAGCGACCCTATTAAGAATGCGAAATCTACGACTCCATCAACTTACATTTTCTGGTATTTCGGCTCGGAAGTGCTCTAGCACTTGCGAAGTTAGATTGTATAGTAGCTACCACTATCTCGTTCAAAACCTAAAATGCATGACACGCTAAATCCCAAAGCAAATCTACTTGTATAGTACTCAAAGGATGTCTCTGTCTAAGCAGTAGCTGACTCGACCAAGTTGGCATAAATGCCGTTTAGCTGCAGCAGCTCCTGGTGCGTGCCCTGCTCCGCGATCTTGCCTCCACTCACCACGCAGATCTTGTCGGCGCGACGAATCGTAGACAACCGGTGAGCAATGACGATCGTCGTCCGCCGCTTCAGCGCCACCACCTTGTCCAGAGCCTCCTGCACCTCTCCGAGTCCAAAGCGCTTGTGGCCTCGTCCAGCAGCAAAATATTGGGGTTCTTCAGGATCGCACGCGCGATGGCGATGCGCTGCTTCTGGCCGCCAGACAACTGCTCGCCCTTCATGCCCACCTGCGTCTCGTAGCCGTCCGGGAAATGCGTGATGAAGTCGTGCGCGTTGGCCATCTTAGCGGCCTCGTCGATCTCCTGCTGACTCGGCTGCTCGGCCAGACCGTACGCGATGTTCTCGGCGATAGTACCGATAAACAGTGTGGGCTCCTGGCCCACCAGACCCATCTGACTGCGCAGCCAGTTCAGGTTCAGGTCCTTGATGTTGCGGCCGTCGAGCAGCTCTTCGCCAACCACGGGGTCGTAGAACCGCTTGATCCCCGAGATGATAGTGCTCTTGCCTCCACCACTAGGGCCGCAGAACGCCACCGTCTGGCCGGGTTCAATAGTGAGGTTGTAGTTCTTGAGCACGTTGATCTCCGGGCGCGCGGGGTATCGGAACGAGATGTTCTTGAACTCGAGGCGGCCCTCAACCTTGGCTAGACGGAATCCGTCGGAGGTGAATGAATCAATTGGGGCGACGCGATCACGAAGTGCGTAAATCGTCGATCCGGCCTTGAACGCTTTGGGTCCGTCAGTCAAGAATCGGGAGGCAAAAACTGACCGTCTGGATCGACATCGTGATGGCCATCAATGTCCGCATCATCTCCGCAAAACCAACGGTGCCGTCGTTCACCTTCTTGGCTCCAAACCAAAACACGAGCGCATACGTGGCCATCATGATGAAGGAGCTGAATCCCAGCGACAGACCACTAACCTGCTCTTCCTTCCGGCCCTTGCGCAGCGGTTCTTGAAGCAGCTCATTAAACGTGGTGGCAGACTTCTTCTCGATACCCAAAGCGGCAACCGTGCGGATGTTCCCAAGGACTTCTGACGCGTGGGCTCCTGGGATTGCCAAGTCATCTGAAATCAAACCAGCATCTTCCATCTCCTTCATACGCGCCACCTCCCCGAAAATCCACATGGGGAAAAGCACCAGCATGATGAGCGATAGCAGCCAACTTCCGAACCCGAAGGAGATGACAAGCGCAGCGATCAAAGTGAAGACAGCTTGGGTAAACGCAGCTTGGGACTCCAGACATCAGCGAAACCTTGGTGGCGTTCGTAGCCAAATCAGCAGTCAACGCGCCAGTCGCGTTCTCCTTCTCGTCGAAAAAGCCAACATTCTGTCAACACAAGCCCCTGAAGTTGGCAGTGCGCAAGTGTGTCGTGATCTTCTCCTCCATGTACTTGAAGCAGTTCATTTGCAGATACGTGAAGATCGCGATCACTGCAGCGCCGACGAGGTAGAGAATGCCGTACAGCTCTACGTCGTTGTACAACGTTGTCAGGTGAGATCGGTCCCCAGGTCCTCTCGAAGAGCGCGTATTGTTCCGTCATAGCAGTGATCATGCCCGTGATTAATAGGGCTGAAGCTGGCACCGCAATGCCTCCGACGCAGGAACCGACCAGCCCAAAGACAAAGTGGTTCCGCGCGAGTCCGTTGAGTTTCAGTAAATCAAACAGGTTGAACGGCTTCTTGTCCAAGAAGTTATTCTCCACCGCGCTCACTGAAATGTCAGTCTTAGCCGATACCCCACTCAATGTCCGTGTCATCTTCGTACTCTCTAGTCCGTTCTCGGCCTCACGCTTCTCCGCTTCTTGCTGCTCCTCCTGAGATCGCAGCTCCTGGATCCGGTACATGTTCTGGTAGACGCCGTGCTCGATCTTCAAGAGCTAGTCGTGCGTGCCGCTCTCCACAATGTGGCCCTCATTCAACACCACGATCTTGTCCGCGTTGCGGATGGTGCTCAACCGGTGGGCGATTACGAGAGTGGTCATGTTGGTCGTGGCCATCAGGTTGTTCAGCGCTGCCTGCACAATCTTCTCGCTCTCGTTATCCAGCGCGCTCGTGGCCTCGTCCAGCACCAAAATGTTGGGCTTGCGGACAATGGCACGGGCAATGGCGACTCGCTGCTTCTGGCCGCCAGATAGAGAGACGCCCTTCTCGCCCACCAGCGTGTCGTACTGCTCCGGCAAGGACATGATGAAGTTGTGCACGTTCGACAGCTTGCAGGCCTCGATGGCCTCTTCACGGGTCACGTTGTCGCCACCCATGGCGATGTTCTCGAAGATGGTCGTGGCGAACAGCACAGGTTCCTGCGACACCATGCCGATCTGCGAGCGCAGCCACTTGACGTTCAGTGTCTTAACATCCCGTCCGTCGAGGTAGATGGTGCCGCTGGTGGGGTCGTAGAAGCGTTCAATCAGAGCAATCAGCGTACTCTTGCCGCCGCCACTGGCACCAGCGAAAGCCACGGTCTGACCAGGCTCAATGGTGACATTGTAGTCGCGCAGGATCTGGGCGTCAGGACGACTCGGGTACGTGAAGTTGACGTTCACCGCATCGATCTTGCCTTCACACGTGTCAGGAATGATTCCCTCGTCCTCCTTCTCCGCATCGATAGCACTCGCAGTGTCCAGGATCGCGAACAGTTGCTCAACAGCACCAGCGGCCTTAGCCACAGCGGAAACACTCGGGGAAACCTGGCCGAGAGAACCTGTTCCCATCATGACGCCAAAGAAGGCAGCGAAAACACCCCCCCGGCGTTGGTTCCCCCTTTGAAGCATTCCACCCGCCGTACCAGAGTCCGACGGAGTACATGATCCACATACTAGCCAAGAACAGCGCATACACCACTGTCACCACCATGTTCAGCTTGATGTTTTCCGTCTCTGCCTTGAAAATCTTGCTCTCAAACTTCTCAATTGCCTTCTGCTCTCCATTCAACGAAGCCACAGTACGGATAGAGCCCAGTGTCTCCTTGGCCACTGATCCTGCTTCAGCATACACCTTCTGGGCAAAGTCCGACATGATCGTGAACGTCTTGATCATCCAGTTGAGCGAGAGCGCCATGACAGGCATCACACACGCCATCACCAGCGTGATATTCCACCCATGGGCGGATCCGATGATAAAACCCACGACAAACTGGATCGAGTAAGAGCAAAAACAAATTCGTGAAGTGCAAATCGAAATTCATCAAAACCTCCATAATAGCGATAAACTATCATCTATTATTCTCTCCAAAACATTATTGTTTTCATTATAGGATTACAAAATAACATTATGGCTGTGAGCTTCGTGCGCTACATCTGCATAATAAGGGTGCTGATGGAATTGGCACAACAGGTTCTCCATCGTCTGTAGTACATGTACACTCTCGGTAGTCCCGTTACAGCTCGTGATTATCCAGCCAGAGGGGCCCTGGTCTACGACCGACCAGCTCATCAGTCTATGTCTGCTGAAAATAAATATTTGAAGAGTCGCCTTCCATGATTCATTCATGGAGGCTTTGATGAATTTCGATTTGCACTTCACGAATTTGTTTTTGCTCTTGCCGAACTGTATTTGCACACCGCGAATTACGCCTGGAAAAGGTGTAATGTCGGCAGGGCTGTGGAGATACGTTATACACCTATAGTGAGGTTAAGTAATTAGGCGATTATACACATATTTTGCTTGCTGCCGACACCTCACATTGAGTTTGTATTGCGTATGTTTGCTGTTGGAAGCATTTTGTATGACACCTTCACTTACGTCATAAATTCAATCGAATTTTCTCGGCGGCGCCTTACCCACATGCGTGCATGACACAAAGCGCCTTCAGGTAAGGTGTTGCTCATGGGACTTTTGTCGCTGCTGCTGAGGTGTCGCCAGCGAGACATGCAAGTGACTCTACAGAAGATATATCAAAACGGAGCGTGAACTAGCGAATATCACATATTTAATCTTTTCAATATTAAATGAAAATAAATACAGTGCCTATGTTGTGCACTGACCACCGCAGCACCAGGTAGAAAGCGCCGCTCCACCAGTAAGTGCGGTTTGGCCACGTCCTCCACCCCCCCCTGTTCGACAGCAGCGAGAGTCCCCCTCGCCGCCCAGAGATCAATGCTCGCAGCCGTCTGCGTCAACGAGCGCAGACGCCGCGCTGCTGCTGCTACTGCTGCTGGTGCTGCTGGTTGGCGAGGCGGTACTGGGGTGAGGGAGGCTACTGCGGGTCCCTGGGCTGGCTCGGCAGTGCCGCGTAGTGCTGGTGTGTCTGCCGCCTCCTGCTCTGACCTCCGCTCCTTCTCCATCTTGGACCCTTCCTCTTCATCTTGTCTCCTTTCACGCGCGATTCGTCCAGCAGGGGCGGGTGGACACCGTGTGAGCGACCACCAGGCGCAGACTACTCGTTGAGCGTCCTTGCTCCCTCTCCTCGCTCTCGCCCTCCACGCACTTGGTGTCGCCGTCGCGCTCTTGTTCTCCCCACCACCCTCCACGCACTTGGCGCCTCCGCCGTACGTCGTGCCCATGGTCCCTCCGCCGTTCTTCGTGCCCTTGGTCAACCTGCCGTCCTTCGTGCCTTTGGGCACTGCCGCCCATCGTGCCGTGGGTCTCCCCGCCGTCATTCGCGATCTTGCCCCCCCTCCCCCCGGCTCTTTCCGTCCCTTGCCCTTCGTCTTGGGCGTCATTGGGCTCCTTGCTCCTCGACGGGGCCCAAGGGCACACGCACTCACACTTGGAGGGGCTGTACAGATCTCCCAGCCGTCTTGAACGTCTTGCCCATGCTTGCGCACACCAGCATGCCACGCACGCAAAGCCGGGAGGGGAGAGGGCTAGCGCAGGTCACAGCGCCGCTACTGCGCTCAGGGGCGCCGCTACTGCACTCAGGGGCCCCGCCAATGACCACCACACCCAAACGAAAATGAGAGAAGTGAAATGCAGCAGCCGTTTTGACCAATCATACAATTTCAGTATTTCCACCAATGATTGGTCGTGTCGGCAGGGGTAGGCCGCTGTCGGCACCGTCACGCTATGGATTTCTGGTGGCGTTGGGGTCGCTATAGCAACGACCGATTCTGTCAAACACACCGAGCGCACGTACGGGGATTTAAAAGTGTGCGAAAGCCAAGGGTTACCATTTGGCCGTGCTGGGCATTGAACCGACGACCTCCACGTTAGCACGTCAGCGTCTAACCACTAGGCCAAATCGCTTAAAACATTTACGCAGCATCATACCGAAATAAACGGATCCAGTGCGACACAGTGTCAATTAATATAGCCGAGCCCAGCTGTCTCGATACGCAATTTCTATTGCCTTAGACGCCTAATCTAATAATGGTGTATAAAATGGTCTTGCTAGTGCAAAACTGGTACAAGGCCGCTCCGAAACATTCACTCCCATATGATATGAAGTGGTACCTTCCGGCTCAAGCCGCACTCCCAACGTCTTCCGTGTGAGCAGGTGTTGCATCGATGGACGTGCCCAAAAGGCGTCGGGGGACATCCAGAAGCTGCCCAATATGCTGCGCGAGTTATTCCATGTGTACTACGATCTCACTAAGCGCGAACCTGATCACGTGGTCTATTACCGCGACAAGTGTAGGCGAAGACCAGTACTCTGACATCCTGTAGGCTGAGGATCGCGCTCTCCGCAAGGCGTTTAAGATGATCGCTAACATCTACAGCCCGTTGATCACGGTCATTGTGGCAAATAAGCGCCAATACACACGCGCCGCCCCCCATGGATCGCCGCGACGAAGACCGCAAGGACGACGTGGGACCAGAAAGGAGATTGTTTTATCAACCGCGGGACAGGCCTACTTTTGGATCAACTTTTAAGCGACAAATTAAGCTAATTCCTGACATATTATATAACTCGTTGGTCAAGTTTGATCCAAAAGTTGATCCTTCTCGTAGTGTCGTTGCCTTCATAAACTTATGTTATACTTTTAAAATTTATATTTTTACTGAACACCATTTTGGAAAAATGCCGCGCCGCTCCAAGACCTGCCCCAAGTGCAAGAAGCGTTTCGCCACTCATGGCAACATGAAGCGCCACCAGAAGAAGGTGTTTGCGTGTGGCAAGCAGTTTGTTAAGCAACGCGAGGAGCTAACTAAACAATAGAAAGCCTACCGTAACCGATACGACTATCTCAAGCGCCTCGGCCGTCTGCACGAGTATCAAGTCCCCCTCCCACCATTCGACGGCCCTCCACCAGCCCAGACGCTGCCCCCACGACGGTCGACACGTCGCTCGACCACGGCCGTCGAATCGTCGGGTACTGTCCCGTCAATTATCGGCCCATCATTGTCCATGTTCAACTACTACATGGACGGGCGCGCAGTTGACAAATTCTATGATTAGGAATGTAGGTTTCTAATCTAGCAGAATTAGAAATTCGTTTCTAATCACAATAAATACATTTCCGCTAACATTTTCAACCAAACAGATGCTGAACTGAGCCAGTGACGTGCTGAGTATTACGAAAAAAACGAACTAACAAGCATAGACCGTCCTCAAATCTGCCCAGCCCACCCACCCACAGGTAGGCAAATACTGCATCGGCACAATGCTCTCTTCTTCAGATGCCAATGCGCAAGGGCTCTGCCATGAGGTTATTCCTTCCATCGACCATCAACCCTTTTGTTGACTATTGTTGATTCGCGGCCCGGAACATACAAATCTTCCATTTCCTCTACGTACCAGTCATACGTCTGCAGAATATCATCGGCAGTTAGGTTGTTTTCATCATATAGCACTGTGTAATGGCAGGACCTGCTTGTCCCCAGGAGGCTGCTGTGGCCGTACAGAAAAAAAGTCGAATCGATGCGGGTCCAGCACGCCAGATTCGACCACCGTTCCTGGCCCCACGTTGTCCTTGCGGCCTTCGTCGCGACGAGCCATGGGGGGCGGCGCGTGTGTATTGGCGCTTATTTGCCACAATGACCGTGATCAACGGGCTGTAGAAGTTAGCGATCATCTTAAACGCCTTGCGGAGAGCGCGATCCTCAGCCTACAGGATGTCAGAGTACTGGTCTTCGCCTACACTTGTCGCGGTAATAGACCACGTGATCAGGTTCGCGCTTAGTGCGATCGTAGTACACGTGGAATAACTCGCGCAGCATATTGGGCAGCTTCTGGATGTCCCCCGACGCCTTTTGGGCACGTCCATCGATGCAACACCTGCTGCGATCGACGGCTGGGAGCCCATGGGTGGTCCAGGTCCGCTCCAATGATAATCGTCGGTGGCACGCTCAGTAGAGGAAGCTGGTCGCGCAGCACGGCGTTCACGCCATCCATTAGCATGTTGAGCTTCAAACAGACATTGGCGCAGAAAGCAGGGTTCGCGTTGCGTAGATTCTCGGAGGCCACGCACTGACACGAGCCTCCCAGAACCGTGTCGGTCATTACCTTAACCGGTACATACATCCACGGCCGAGTGTCCGGCAATATAACTAGCTGCATCTCTGGTGGTCCACGCTTGCCACACACTGGTAGCAACTTCGCACCAGATCCTCCACTTCCGGGTACCTGGGAGGGGGGGGGGTCACAGTTTTCAGGAGCGATACCGATATGGAGTTCCGACAGTACTTGTTTGCGATTGTGCAGTGTGCTGGTGTTGACGTAGCTAGCTGAGCTATGCGAGGGATCCTGAACAACTAAAGTGACTTTGGTCGAATCACTAAAAGAAAGTCAAAAGAAATTCGCTTTTTTATGAAAATTCCCATCGCGCTTGACAGATATCAAATAAAATGTAATCATACTCTGTCCTGAACTACAACAATTGTGCAAACTACATGGCTCAGCAGCTTCAGCCTTCCGCTTCCTCGGATCCTTGCGCCTCCACCTCATCTTCAGCGTCCTCGTACAGCATTCGCCGCGGCACGGTATTGCGGGCGTTCACCGCGTCGAGCTGTTTCTCGAACACCGCCAGCTTTCGCTTCTCGTTTCGAACCTGGACCCTCAGGGTGTTGGCCTCAGCTAGTTGGCTTCAGCTTCCATGACGACCAGAATGTTCTGCAGCACCACAACGTGCTTTTCCGCTTTATTGTGCTGCTTGTGGACCTGTTCATCTCCTCCTCTCCTGTTTACTATGCGAATGAAGCGGCAGCGGGTGCTCGTCACTTGTTGAAAGAAGTCCGGCTGGAGGAAGCTTCCGGGAGCTCACGCAAGATCGGGTCCAAGTTCCTATTCGCAAACAGGAATGTGCTGGACAAGATGTTTTTTTTCTCGATTTGAGCGCGCGTGGTGTTGAGCACACAGTTAGGGCTACGGCCGAGTGCAGTAGGGCGTTCTATCGTACGAGTTTGAATATTGAGGAACAGTTGCCATGAAACGTTTTTTCAAGTTTGGTACAATTATGAGAGGCTGAGAGGCCCCGGAACCTCCCATAAGCCGACCCCGACCCAATAAAGCAAGTTCACCATGTAGAACAGCGAGGACAGCAGCAAAGGGCACCCCGTGTCGGAAGGAAGGGTCTACAGACAAGGAAGACTCCGCGGACAACAAGGAACGCATGGTCCATATTCCGCTGCGAGGAGATCTCCCCTTAACGAAGAAGCGACCAGCCCGAAACGTTTGTGGTTTGTGGTACCATCCCGCAGCTCATGAGTGAAAGTGAATAAAAAACAAATGCCTCAGTCGCACACAAAAAACGTAGGCTTCTCAACTCACCTGGTGATCGAGCCAGGCTGTAGTGGGCCTACCTTGGCTCACTACTACGGCTTACACGTATGCGCACGTGGATGAGGAAGCGTGGGTTTCTTTTACGTGAGTTAAGTATACTCGAGATCCACGAGTATACTTTAAACCAGATAAAGACTCCAACTAGCGGGTTTTGGTAAAAGATGAGAACTGCTATTTTTGTTTTATGTTTCTGACTTCCTCTAAATGTAATATTCTAAACTAGGAATATGCCAACGGCTGGTTGGCAGGATTCTGCTAACATGCAAGTCACTCATTGGCTAAAAGATGCTGCTTTCAGCCAATAGGAATCGTAAATGTGTATGGACCACCCGTCGTGGTGGTCGAAAAATGTATGTAGCCATTGGTGTACCTTACACCAAGGTCGAGGAAGTGTTCAAACCTCTAACAGACATCGCATCTGTTAGAGTAACAAGTGATTGTAGCCACTTGTGCGTGTAACCCCGTTACACCATCCCCCCGTCAAGGTTAGACGTGCCGGTCCCGGCACGTCAACCACCATTGACCGCTTGGTCAACGCGTGACGTTTGAAGAGAGCGTGCTCGTTCCGAAACGAGCACGTCGAAGTTGAAGACCCCTGGCGCAGCAGCGGAGAACCTCTCTGCTGCTGAGTAATATGCGCGGTAACGTGCGAAGCGCGTCGCTGCCACGGGGGCAGGTACCTACGTCTGCCCTCGAAGTGTCTTCGGGCGCTGCTGTTAACAGCAGCACTCGCATTACGTTCCAGTATGTAGCGCATGGTGGGCTTCGTATGCCCTCACCATGTCCGGGACGTCTTCGAGCAAGACGTTCCGCGGCTCCCATGTATCTTGGTTGGGAGGGAATCCTCTCCAACGGATACGAAAACGAACCGGTTGCCTGTTCGTTCTCGGGATACTGTGACCAACAATCCGCTCAACTATCTATCGAGTTGAGCCGTGTGCGTCACGAATTGGCGGCGGTGGTGGTGGAAACACGCCCCGTGTGTGGTCAACTTGGTGTTGACCCTGATCTCGCGTCTCCCCACGACCAAGTCCCGGTCGTGGAGTAGTTCCAGAGCGCTGTGTTCGGCGCTCTGAAGTATTCGCAGTTTGCGGCGACCTCCCAGACCGCCTCGATCGTTCCGGCCGAGCTGGACCATTAGCTCGACCCGCTGCTCCAGCGCGACTTCGCGCTGGAGAGGATGATGGCTTCATCCGAGTCTTCTGCTTCGGTTCAGCCGAGTTAGGTAGCTCGTGCTGCAGGTATGGCTTCAGCCGTCCGACGTAGAACGTCGGATGGAGGCGCATACTAGACGGTATGTCCAGTGTGTAGGCGTTGCCGTGCCGTGCCAGCACAGTGAACGGTCCGATGAAGCGCGGAGCGAGCTTGCTCGCCCCGAAGTCGGAAACTGCATGTTTAGGCAGGTTTTGAGTAGCTAACAAGACTAATGAACCCTTCTCGAATTCATTAGTGTTGCCCCTGCCAGCAGTGGCAGCACTCGAGAGGTCCATGGGTTCTGGGCCTCCCGTCCTCACCACCGGGCGTGGCTGTGGCCTCAGCACATGTGCATGCAGCTTAGCCTGCCGCAGGCTAAACTCCTCCTGTATTGCAATAGTAATTGCAGCTTCGAGAGTACTCAGGTACTCACGGAAGAGGTAGGTCTTCATAGGCCCATCTCTCAGTCCCTTCATGAACGTGACGACCTTGGTCGCCTCATCGATCGGATTGGTCACGATGTTCGAGACCAAGTACCGTACTCTCTGAGCGTAAGCATGGACATCATGCTTGCGCTGCTGTAGGGCGAGGAACTCCGCCCTCGACCGGAACTTGTTTTGCGGTGGCTCAAACGCTAGCTCATCCTTGAAACCCTCGTACGTGCTAAAGCACGTAGGATCCGAGAGTCGGCGTCCATACACCCAACTTCTTGCGCGTCCGCCAAGACATGACATGGCGAACGCAACCTTCGACAACGGGTCGACGATACGTCGAGCCGCAATGGCAGTGTCGAGTTCGACAAGCCAACGGAGGAGAGGTTCCCCTCTCTTCCGACATAGTTACTCACATTGATTTTCAGTGATTGCGCGCGTGGTGTCGTCCCGGACGGCACCGCAGTAGTGGCAGCAACATCGCGTTGCTCCTTCAGGATGAAACCCAGAGCAACACCGTGTTGCTCTGTCGGCGTTAGCGTACGCTGCATCGTAGCTACTGCCGCCTCACCAATGACTGTTGACAGTCGTTGGAGGGCTTCCCACTCCGGATCCGACAGGTGGGGACAGTCAGCGCGTGCAACATGAGTTGCGGGCGTGGTGGAGCTTTCCATGGGCACCTCTGTATCCATGGGAAGGTTCTCAGCTCCGCGTTCGTGCGGTGACGTACGAACTCAGGTAGTCGGTCGTTGGACGGACCAACAAGTGCTACCAGGTGTAATGGGCCTACTTTGGCTCACTACTTTAGCTTACACGTGTGCGCTCGTGTATGAGGAAGCGTAGCTTAGTTTAAACTAGAGTTAATTATACTCGGGCCTCCGAGTATAGATTAATCTAAATACACGATCCAAATAATGTTTTTTTGGGTTAAAATGAGAACTGCTATTTTTGTTTATGCTTTCTGACTTCCTCTAAATGTAATATTCTAAGTTGGGAATCTGCCAACGGCTGGTTGGCAGAATTCCAATGCTATGCATGTCGCTCATTGGCTAAAAGATGCTGCTTTCAGCCAATAGAAATCCTAGGTCTATGGACCACCCGTCGTGGTGATCGTAAATGTATGTAGCCTTTGGTGTGTCTACACCAAGGTCGAGAAAGTCTTTCGAACCTCTAACAGACGTCGTGTCTGTTAGAGTCACAAGTGACTGTAGCCACTATGTGCGTGTAACCCTGTTACACATATGATATGAAGTGGTACCTTCCGGCTGAAGCCGCACTTCAACGTCTTCCGTGTGACCGATTCTGTCAAACACACCGAGCGCACGTCACTTGCGATGTCGAAGTGACACCCGCAAGGAGGCCTGGGTCGGCGGAGCGAGCGCGACGCAAATGTTCACTTGGGTTTTGCACTACGGCGCCCCGACCCCCGGCGCCCACCGAGGCGGCATGGCGTCACTGTATGCACTCCGTCTGGCTGCAGCAGAAACTGGCGTATGTAAAGGATCGGTGCCGACGCGGTGGGGTGCACAACGAGCCTTTCCGGCCAAAGCGTAGCCCAAAACCGCTCGGTTTGCGATCAACGTTAGTCTTGGGGTGCGTAACGCGTTCTGGCGAGCCCGCCGGCCCATCGCACACTGCCTACAGGTGGCGAAGTGGATCCGCGAAATTTGCAGATCGCGGGGGTCCTCTTGCACACGGCGCCCGAACTGCCGACTAACGGAGGGGGTACTCCGATCTTCCGTGAAGTTGCTGATCCTCACCTTGTGTACCCGTCGGTGGGCTGGATCGCTCTTCGGGTGATCTCGAGAAGACGCGCTTGGGGTTGAGTCTTGGGCTGTCTGGTGGACAGCGGGAACTTGTGGCAGCAACGCGGATATGCTTCACGCTGTGCCGGAGTAGTTGTGGCGGTTTCGATCTGGGGTTGTCTAGATCGACACTCGCCGGCCAGGTGTGATCTTGGCCTGGGGTTGCCTTGTGGTCGGTGTGTGACCTTCCTTTCCTTTCCTTGCTTGCCGCTTCCTCTAGCGGTGGGTCGAAGTGAGGGTTGACGGACGCTGGGCCAAGCTATCCTGGCGTCCGAGGTTCCTTGATCTTGGG